CTAATATTATATATATATAATACATTAGTTTTTATCTGGCCTTGCAAAAACGAGTTTGCGCCATCACTTGCATTATCAGTGTGATATTTCATTTCTCTTATTGCTACTTGGTTTAGACGAGCTAAAAAAATATACCTACTTCAGGAAACTGTCGATCCGACAACTCTAAGAGAGAAAGAGAGAAAGATCAAATTATCTTAAATTATGTAAATATAAACCAGTTTATATCTGAACAAATAAACATCTAATTTAGTTAACTCGATCGTTACTCGGTTTGTGATGAAATTAGATTCTGCGGTTTGTAGATAAAACGAAAAACGGGCGATCCGGCAATCACTATGAGAAAGTGACAGATATTAAATTATTCCAAATGCGCGTTAAAATAAAAATTACAAAAAATATCACTTTCGCTTGACCACAAAAAAATTAACTTGAGTCATTGTCTGGGTTCCCGATAATGCCTAATTTGCCATATTGTATGTTTCGTGGATGAGCAAAAGCGAATGTATATCGCTGCAGTCATCATTCTATGCGGCGTTAATTAACACGGAGAGAAATTGCGGGTTATAAATGTCAACGTTACACTCGGAGAACCGAAGACGAAGTCAAGTAAAGGGCAACTAGTTTCATCGTATTGCATACAGCCGAGAAGAGGGAAAGAAAAGCGAGAGGAAGGCAGTCCGATATTGCGAAAAATAATTCCTCGCCTTCCTTATCGAAGATGCAAGCAGCGCGATTTCATCCACCATCTCGACGAGGAAATCGAGAGGGGGATAAAACCAAGTCGGTTTTTTATCGCTGTGTATGTACTGTACTCAATCACTTTCTTTTCGGATTAGAGTAGACAGATTGTGAATAGCGTTTCGGATTAAGCAATGGAAAGTGGTTCCCGAGATCGGCGGTCATCGATATCTATATTAAATTCTTATCTATCCGCTTTCCATGCCACATAATGTTAAAAAAGAAAACGTTATCTTGTAACGCAACCTTCAAATGTATATAACTTGTACATTACAATATATCATACGTACAATATCATATCCTGTATGTGTAATAGGGAGACCCATACTTATGTAGTGCAAAAACCGCGGATTGCGACAGATAGATTGCAATTTATTGGCATCAAATCAAGAATTAAACTATCTTATGTTCACAAAATTACAGATATTACTAAATGTAAACCACATATTTATACGTGTATATAGATCAAATTCCAAAGAATAAATTCATATATAAATGTATGAATATTGATACTGTACACATTATCGCGTGAAAAAATTTTAGAATTTTGAAAGATTATTATATTACAAATATATATATTTGACAATTACAAAATTTTTATTAAAAAATGAAGTTATTCTACTTCTTACGATATTAATTAATTATTTAATTTCTATTTTATAATTGTCATAGAGTAGTTTACTCACTCTTAATAATATATAATACAATCCTTTATTGAAAAATTTTTTTTCGTACGCACACAGAGGCAATATCTATAAAATTTTATATTTCCTAGAATAACTTCTAGTTTTATAGATGTCTCAAATCCTAAACGAGTTTCATTTTTATTGCCTATATTAAAATTATTCGATACATTTGGAACAATGTGAGCTGGCGGAAATTTATAATATTTACTATGTCAGAGGCCTTTTATGATCAGATAAAAAAAAGAATTGCTAATTTTATTACAGTGCGAATGTGTTCGTTTCCTATTTGCAAAATGAACGGATACAATATAGTGAGCTAATCGACAGTAGCTCCCATTCTGCGTTCAATGACTTTCCTTCAGTCCGCGTGCTTACGGATAACAGGAAGTAATGCAAAGTACTTA